ATGACCTAGGACATAACCCATGACCTAGGACAAATAAAAAATATGACCTAAAACATAACCCATGACCTAATAATGTCGTTTTTTTACGTTAAAAAATACGTCCTCCAAAACGACATTAACCCAACCTGACCTGGGACATTAAAAAAAGAAATGACCTATTTATGGTCATAACCAAATGACCTAGGACATAAAAACAAACGTAAAAGAATGGTAACTTCAAAAATTATCCCAGGACCTGGGGGACAATTGTTTGGTACCTAGGACATAATTGTCCGACCTAAATGTCTGACCAATACCAACATATGACCAGTAAATATATTATCCAATTTTACCGTTGATCTTTATATTCCCTTGTATTCAATACCTAGAGACCAGCATTAAAGAAATAGTGGTGTGATTTTTTTTTAGGCTGTTTCCATTATTGTGTTTGCTAAACAAAATTCAGTCAATAAAATCTTATAAACATATAAACAAAGCTCTTCGCAGGATATGGGCTGTGGTTTAAATATGAATTAAGCACGTTTTTTTTTTTTTTGATTTTTTTGTTTTTTTTTTTCAGCCTATTACGCGGTTTCCTGGGAAGATGGTTCCGATTTTTGGGCAACTAATCGACCAGTCGAGAGTGAAATTGTTTATTTGTTGTTGAGTTCCCCATTACAGAGTTCCAAAACATACGGTTTTATTTTTTTATTTACATCTCCAGGTCTTTGTATTTGATTGGTTTTCATTATTAAACCGGCTTTGAAATGAAGACGTCCAACATCAACAACACCTAAAAATGATTATTATTTGTAATGATACAATGAAGATAATGTTTCCTGATTTGTATCCTGTAGAGAGATAACTGTGGACTTGTGTAGTCGTTCTGGTCTGTTAGCTTTTATATGTTTGTCAGCATGTATGGTCAGTCAGTTATGTGCCATGCGTGATACACGATTCCAGTAACCATTAGATTTATCATGTATCTTTCGATACATGATGGCAAAGCAGATTTTTTGAATTCAAAAACAGGCTTTTAGGTTGCCATTACTTTCTGCAGTAGACCAGTTGCCATCGAAGTCTATAGAACCCGGTCTGTCCAACTATTTACCCATAGCTGGAGGGAGAAGAAGATTCATAAATTTGAATACAACAATGGTATGTAACGTGATCTTAGGATCCAACTGGAATTCTAACTCATTATAAAATCTATTTACCCAGTAGGGAGAAAGAAGTGGATTAACGCCCGATTCTTCAATCCCAGAGCCTCTAAGCCCTTAGCCATTATTCCACCGTGCCTCCACTGAATCGTTAAGTCCCCAAAATAGTCAACTCATATTTTTTTTATGATTGATTCAGAGTGGTGTTATTATAGTTTCCCAGCATATGGTGCAATGTAACAATGTAATACTAACGATACAAGGTGATTTGCGTCCCTGGAGATTGGCGTCCCGAGACAAATGTATCCTTGGATAATTGCTCCGTGAGACAAATGTGTCCATGGATATTGCGTACCTCGGAAGCATTTAAAGCCAATTAACATAAATGTTTTCAAAAGCATAGTAATCATAATATTTTTAAAAAAAATAAAGAAATAAAATAAAAAAAATAAGTTTATTTTTATTTAAAATATAATGACAGATTAACAATGTTGCAAGATCGCTCTACACATCCCCAGTATATTTTTGTTTCATCGGCGTTTATCTTATGATAGTGGTAGATGTAATTTTCCTCGTCCACAAATATTTTCCCACCAGTGTCTGATTTTCAGAGCTTCGCCATGGGTTCCAAATAAAAATATAATCTATAAAATCCAGAATTTATTATTAGGTTGGTGCAAAAATAATGACGTAATAATGTCGTTTTTTACGTTAAAAAATACGTCCAAAAACGACATTATTACGTCATTATTTTTGCACCAACCTAATAGATGCTTGTGGTACGCACTTCTGGAATGAACTCAAACTGCTAGCTTAATTTTCTCATGCTTTAAAAAAAGAAATGTTTTCCTCTTTTTTTTTTATTTATGGTAATAACTTCTTTGCTCCTTTAAAGTAATTAAAGGCATTGGTGTGCAAATTTCTATATTAAACAACTCTTAAAAGAATGGTAACTTCAAAAAATTATCAGAGGTACGCAGTTATCCTGGGAGGCATTTGTCTAGGGACGCAATTGTTTGGTACGTAATTGTCCGGGACGTAATTGTCCGGGACGTAAATGTCTGTCCACCAATACTAACATATCTTCCAGTAAATATATTATCCAATTTTACCATATTGATCTTTATATTCCCTTGTATTCAATATTAAGCAACCAGACCAGCATTAAAGATCAATAGTAGCAAGAAGTTATTCATATTATTTAGGCATTGGGTCTGCATAATTCTTTATTGTGTTTGCTTTATTTATCTATTATTATTTGGGGTCATTCAGAAGGCAATCCTTCATCAAATCTTATAGATTGGCACTACATAATCACAAAGAGCTTTACCAAATAAAGAATATTCCAATAAATTGGACCGGTTTTAAATATGAATTAAGTTTAAGCGTTTGTCTTTTTCTTTCAGATTTAAACAACATAAGTGTTTGGCAATAACAACCCTGGAAAGATTAACAATCAAGCAACGTGTTAAAGTTATCAAAGCCTATTACGAAAATGGACGTCCAAGCAGAAATGCATTCCGCGGACTTCGCGATTTTTTTGGTCAACATAATCGACCAGTCGAGAGTGAAATTGGAAAAAATGTTCGTAAATTCAAACAAACTGAGTCGGCAGCAGAGGTGAAAACCCCATTGCGTGCTCGTTAAAACATTACTGCGGTGCACGAGAATGTGGCCGAAAATCCAGACCCCTCTATTCGTCATCGCACGCAGGAATTGAACCTCTCATCAACAACGTTACATCAAATTTTGACAAAAGATTAATCTCTACACGCTTACAAAATTCAATTGACACAAGAACTGAAACCGGCTTTGAATGAAGACGTCCAACATCAACAACACCTAAAATGAGTAGCACATATGACTGGAAGGGAAAATAATGATACAATGAAGATAATAGTTCACATCCCCTTAGATTTTGCAAGTAGAGAGATAACTGTGGACTTGTGTAGTCGATTTTTCTGAATAGTTCTTTTAAAAGAAATATTCTATAAATTCCAACCGACAGTAACGCGAGCTGTTTGGTCAATGAATGCCAAGTGTTTCCTCATCATGGAGGCACGATAGAGTAATGGATAGCGACTCGGATTGAGGAATCTAAAAGCCGGGTTCGGATTCCAGTTAGAACCATTAGATTTACTTTCGTGCTAATCCTTTTCTTCTTTCCCACCAGCTTTGGGTTCTATAGCTTGGATGGCAACAGGTCTAGGATGAGGTAACGCTGAATTCAAAAACAGGCCCGTAGAGGTTTGGGCTCACCCAGGATATCTTGCCCAAGAAACACCACTTCTACTGCGGCTGAAGTACATGTGCTGCCCCCACGACCCTGATAGGTCACGGAATTCGTGATCGCCCGATTGGTCAGATCATTACCATTATTATTGTTGTTTAAACAGTTTTACTTAGTCTGTCAGAGGTTGATCATAGAACGATTGATTACCTTGGTCAAGAATACAACATGGTATTGTATCATTCACTAAGCTGATCTTAGTTTGGTTAAAGGTCTCAGTAGTAAGGAACAAGTTGATAGTCTAAATTAATACATTATAAAATCTATTTACCCATAGCTGGAGGGAGAAGAAGTGGATTCATACATTTCCCAAGGGTACTAGCAAGTAAGTGAAGGTAACGGATCCAAGTGGAATTCGAACTCCGATACTTCAATCCAAGCCCTTAGCCATTATTCCACCGTGCTTCCACTGAATGGTAAAGTCCCTAAAATGTATGAATCGTAAAGTCCTCAAAATAGTCAACTCATATTTTTTTTATGATTGATTCAGAGTGATGTTCTTATAGTCTCTCAGCATATGGTGCAATGTAATACTAACGATTCGAGGAGAGTTCATGATATTGTATCATTTACTAAGCTGATGTTAGTTTGGTGAAAGGCCTCAATAGTAAGGAACAAGTTGATAGTCTAAATCAAGGGTCGGCAACCTACGGCCCGCGGGCCGGATCCGGCTCGCGAAGGCATTTTGACCTGCCCGCGAGCCTGATTACCAATGACTATTTTTAACATGAGAGACGAGGCTTTCGAATTAGACTCTCTGCCAATTATCTTTCATGAGACTTATTTTACGTTGCCTACGTTTAATGTCAAATAATGGATACATATTTGTTATGACCCTTGGCTACATTAAAAGATAACAGAAGCGAAAGGAACGATAAATTTAAAGAGGCCAGGGAGGGACTGACATGCGAGGTAGCAGAAATCTAAAGATCACAGACCAGCTGATGCCTTTCAACCTGAAGGCTCACCTGGGTCACGTTGATACCATCTTTATTATAAGTTAACGATAAGCATCGTTGACTTATAAACAGTTGCGCAAAGCAACAATCCTGCAGAATGAACATGAAGCTAAACTATTATTGGAAAGTTTTCTGTCTCTTGATAACCAATGAATCCTAAACCAATCGCTTTTTTTCCTTAAAAAAAAGCTGTTAATATATTATTAAGAATACGTCTCAAGGGATTTAAAAACCTGTCAAGAACGTGTCTGACAAGCTCAATATCTATCCTAATCTTTTTATTTTTATTACTACTTCAATGCTGAGATATCATTCCCTTAACGTGACTTCCAGATTTATTCAAAGAAAATAAAGAATCCATTTTAATAATAACTTAATATGTAAAGCTTAAAATGTGTGTGCCCGTTAGAAACCCTGTCTCCCCGTGGTGTGTGCGTGTGCGGAGTCTGTTTCAATGTGTATGCAAGTAGAAGGAGTGTTACGAGCATATCACATTGAATCACCGGTTCCTGTACCGAAGTTAAGCAACGTCCAACCTGGTCAGTACCTAGATGAGTGACCGCTTGGGAATACCAGGGCGGTAAGCTTGAACGTGTGGGTGGTATGGATTAAGGCCATATCACGTTGAAACACCGGTTCTCGAACGATCACCGAAGTTAAGCAACGTCCAGCCTGGTCAGTACCTAGATGGGTGACCGCTTGGGAATACCAGGGGCGGTAAGCTTGAACGTACGGGTGGTATGGCTTACGGCCATATCACATTGAAACACCAGTTCTCGAACGATCACCGAATCTAAGCAACGTCCAACCTGGTCAGTACCTTGATGGGTGACAACGTGGGAATACCAGGTGCTATAAATATGGATGTGCGGGTGGTATAGCTTACGGCCATATCACGTTGAAAAAAAAGTCTCTCGTACGATCACCGAAGTTAAGTAAGATCGAACCTAGTCAGTAACTAAATGAGTGACCGCTTGGGGACACCCAGTGCTGTAAACGTGGATGTGCGGGCTGGATGATCGATCGAATTGTTTTAATCGAAGAGCCGAGTTTCAATTCCCGTTGGATTCGATATATTTACTTACGGGCAAATACCCTTGTAAAAGGTATGAATCCACATCTTCTACCCCCCGCTATGGGTTAATTAGTAAAAATTGCATCACTAAATCATTATTATCTAAAACAAATATTCGTACAAGTAAAAATATTATCTGGCTTTAAATAACATGCAAAGTGTTGATAAACCGTAAAAAACGAATCAATTAATCAAAAGAATAAAAAGTATGTAAAACTATGGCATTAATACAAGCGGCAGAGTAAGGAAAAGGAGCAATGTAAGAGTAAAATGTTGCTAACAGCTACACGGGTCAAACTGGGAAGCGTTTGACAGAGTACGGTAAATGAGATCCGTAGACGTATTGGGATTGCCAAGGATGTATTCCAAAAGCTAGACAGAGTATTGCGAGACATGAACATTTCTTTAGTAACAAAGAAAAGAATATTGAGCTGTTACGTGACATCTGTCCTCCTTTACGGCAGCGAATGTTGGACGATTTCCTCAAAGATGAAGAAGAGACTCGAGACGACGGAGATGTGGTTCTACAGAAGGATGCCAAGGATATCATACATGTGAGCAACGATGAAGTCTTAGAGAGGATACATAAAAGGAGGAGGCTTATACTTGTCATCAGGAAGAGGCAGCTGAAGTTTCTGGGGCACATAATGAGGAAGGAGGGTCTGATACTCACGGGTCGAATAGAGAGAAAAAGAGACAAGTGAAAACAACGCATGACCTACCCAGCGGCTTTAAGCAAGTGGATAACAGAACGTGATTTGGGGGAGGTGGCAGAGGGAAAGAATTTGTTGAGAGCTGCAAGGGATAGAGGGGGGGTGGAGAGCCATGATTGCCTACGTCCTGAAAGAACACGGCACATAGAAAGAAAAGAAGAATATTTCTCATGAACTCAGAAATGAAAACACTCTTGATATGCTCTTAAAAAGATTATTGATGCGAATAAAATGTACAGTTGTCTCAAAACCGTACAAATTATTCAGGCGGCATTTTCGATGGTCGCCCGCTTAGGAAGATCGGGCTAAACGAAGACGAATAGAATAGCCCGTTATTGGAAGAGTCGCCGATTTCTCACCACTTCTGATCTCTGTTCGAGCAAGGATTTCAGAGTCAGATTTTCTCCTGATAAATGAAGAAAAGACTTAAAAAGAAGAGACTTGGTTCCACCGACGAATTCTAAGATTACAATTGAGAGAATATGTGTCTCATATTCCGTGCTAATAGGAATATATACTTGAAAAACAAGGTGGATAAAATAGGTAAAGGTTTATCACAAAAACCAGTACAATAAGAATAAAGGTAACAATTATGCACAAGGTCGTCGCAAGTCAATCCAGTAGTGAGTGTTACTATTAGAACGTCGGTAGTTCTTGCGTAAGTCTGAGTCGTACTCAACAGATCCCAACCAGTAACATTTACCAACCTCCCCACAGGGTAGGACATGGCACAAGGCCGAGTTTATGTGGGGCAATCCGAGCCCGTATGCTCGGCCAAAAATTCCTGGCAACCCCGCATAAATGGGTTCGGGTCTGTCAACCTATCCGGACGAGTCTCCGCCCTTTGGGATAGCCTCGTCCGGGCTCCTCTCTGCCCAAAGGCAGAGAGATTGACAACAGCTAAGAACTGACAAACAGATCCCAGCTAGTAATATTTATCAACCTCCCTATTGGGTAGGATGTTGCACAAGGCCGAGTTTAATGTGGGGCAATCCGAGCCCGTACGCTCGGCTAAAAATTACTCGTAAACCTCGCACCAAAATGGGATCGGGTCTTTCTGCCTCCCCGGACGAGACTCTTCCCTTCGGCATAGCCTCGTCCAGGTTCCTCCCTGCCCGAAGGCATAGAGTTCTACAGCAAACCAAAAGCTGAGTGACAGATCCCAGCTAATCTCTGTAGTCCATTGACTTATAGATACTTATAGGTAGTTACTACCTATAGTGTAGTCACTCATGGGAATAACAGGTTATTTCATTACATCAGTGAGAAATAAGGGTTTTAAGAAAAGTAGGGACTATAAGGAAACTGATGCTAATAATCAGAAAGCCAACCAAATTGTCAGCAAAAAAGGCAGCTCAAGATACGTGCTGCATATTGGGAACGTCAAAATCAAGAAGGTACAGAGATTTAATTGTCTTGGTAGAAAAAACAGTCGAAGGAAAATATGAAACAGAAACTCGATGGCACAACGGAATAGCGAAAGATGTCTTCCAGAAATTAAGTAAAGTATTAAGCATAAGAAAATATCTATAGAAATAAACAAAAGAGTGGTAAACTTCTATATCTAATGTCTCACATAGCAGTGAATGTTGCGGATGAAACAATGTTAAAGGTAGGGAGAGCCTTAAAGGGTTAAAGATGTCGTTCTACTGAAGAATTCTAAGAATACCATGGGCAGAACATTTTTGGAATATGGAAGTTTTAAGGAAAAGAGGAACTACAGGAACTATTGTGGTATCTTATATATCTATAATTCTCAAAATATATGCGTGTATTCGTGTGTGTGTGTATGTGATTGAATGTTGTTTATGAGTTTCCACAGTTTACATCCGATTTCGATTAAATTTTTTGTTTAATAGATAATTCTTCAGTGTCAGTTTTGAGTCCAAATAGGCTGGAAAAAATTACAACCTTGAAGGTGAAAAATAAAAAAAAAAACTGATTTTTTACACTTTGCGAAAAAATCAAAGGCAAAATTTAATGTAAAAAACATATCATATATATAATATAAAAATTATCGTATATTATCATTATGACGGTCCACGGAAGAGGTTCCTTCCTTGCAAGATTAAGAACGCAAAAGTGCCCCTGTCAGCACCCTCCATTCAAATTGTTACCCCCCCCCCAATTTGGGGATGTGCCTCAGTTACATCCAATTGTTGTTACTAATATTGATTTTCGGGTGAGTTGACTTTAAATTTAAATGGCGCCAAGTAAACGGTGAAAATTCCCAGTAATGAAAGACCCGGTCGAAGACTGCTAGTTGTAATAATAATAATCGAAGAAAAATATGACTCAGAACCTCGATGAGACATCGGTATAGCGAATGATGCCTTCCAGTAACTAAACAAAGTATTAGGCATAAGAAAATATAGATAGAAATAAAAAAAGAAAAAATGTGGAACTGTTACATAATGGATAATGTCCCACATGGCAGTGGAATCTGGGTAATCTCTTCTCATATATAGAAACGACTTGAATCGACAGAGAAGATACTTAAAGAGACAGTTGTGCCGTCGAATGATAAGTATGTCGTATACAGAAATTATGAGGAACGAGGACGTCTTAAGGAGAATAGGAACTACGAGGACATTTATACTTAGAATCACTAAGAGACAAGTGGAGTTTCTCCGACACATGAAGAAAGAGTGCTTAGTGAATCTAACACTCACAGGACATATACTCCTGACACAGGAGTTAACTATGAGCCAATGACGGTTAACTGTGGCGTGGTTAACGCCCATCACCGCTTGTGCTTTAAGTGGAGTTAGAACGGCTTATGATCAAACATAATAGACATTCGTTGTCTGTTATATTCAACAATATATGTTTAAATAAGGATCTGCTTCACCATCATTTATATATATATATATATATATATATATATATATATATATATATATATATATATATCCATTACATTCATTTACATGCTAATACCCTTGAGAAAGGTATTAATCCTCTTCGTCTCCCTCCAGCTATGGGTAAATAGCAGGAAAGACTGGGTTCTATAGCCTTGGGTGGCAACTGGTCTAGGAGAAGGACAACTCTGAATTGAAAACCTGCGGAGGGCCTTTTTGGGACCTTGTAGCACTTAATGCACCAGGTCTCTGTATTTGGCCCTTCAAAAAGTGTGGTTGGTTCTGCACAAAGCCTTCACCATTATAATCAAACCATATTTGCTGGTGTCTGGGCTGTCGGTTCCTAGGAACTGAGCTGCTTGACCCTCATACGTCAAATACGGTGTGAGAGTCCATCATATATATATATATATATATATATATATATATATATATATATATATATATATATATTCGAAAATTATAACATAAATATGTTATAAAATCACTACAAAAATAACCATTTTGTTTCAACACCTCTGGTGCCTTATCAAGTGATGATGTTAATCAATTGTCCCTCAAGTAAGGCGATAATGCCACTAAGATGCAAGTCGCTACTGGGAGTGAAATAGAATGAGAAGACTTTAGAAGGAACCGGAAACACAATCCTAGACAGTATACGAGGGATAAACCGCTACTCCTGTTCAGAAGACTGGAGATATGCGTGAACCGGGCGATAGGCGAGGTTACAATCCAAGTGCTATTTGGATAGCTTCACATGTAGACAGCTGAGAAAAACTAGCGTATGTATTGTTAGTTTCATTGACCTACTTTCGATGAGCTATAGAAAAATGACTGTCGATATCATTAAAAGAATATAAACCAAAAATATTTTAGGGAAATAGTTGTGATCTTTGTAAATGCTGTTCAAAGTAATTTTCGAGTCTCGGCCTTAAAAAAGAAAAAAGATAAAAAGAAAAGGAAAAAGACAAAAAAGAAAAGCGTACATTGGCATGATTCCAATTCGACAAAGATCATAATGATTGCAACTTAGGAATGTGGTCTAAATTGATATGGACTGACGAATCGAAATTTAGCATTACATTGGAATACCGCTGACAATGCATTTGAGAAACGGTTAAACACGTGCGTGAGGGCGTCATAAAGTAGGATTGTATGTCTGGGAATGTTATCAAGTCCGTTGCATCGAATAAAGGAGAATTATGG